AGCTGCATTGGTTCCTGCAGCGGAAGACCTGTTAGCGCCGAGGCGCCGTGTCGATCCGGTATGATGTACAGCGGCTGCGGCTGGCTCATCGCTACCCGATTGAGCTGCATTCTTCTGGAGTTGGTCAGACTGGGGAAAGATCCTGCACCGGCCACAGCACATGGCAAGCAACACATCAGCGAAATGGTTAGGCAGGGCGACCGAGGGTAAGAGTCGGTGGAGAAACGATTGCCGACCACACGGCACCTGAGCGAAGAATGCTGTATCGTTCAGTTTCTCCAGATCAGTGCCGCAGCTTGTGGCTGGTGACGGCCGTGAGCCGCAGTGGGGGGCTTCACAAGTCTCCAGTGTGGACCAAGGAGGTCGGCAGCATTCCTCTGGCATCGTATGGACTACGCTGCAGAAAGGTACTCTAAGGCTTATTCAGAAGCAGCCGCTTCCGTTCGCGACAGGAGTGTAAGCGTTAAGTGTGCTATTTCCGGGTCCTTGGTGTAGGATATGCCAAGGCGCAAATACCACTGTACCCCAATCCCTAGGCCAGAGAGCTGATGACGTGCAGACTTCATGTCCAGCGTCTCACCGCCTTCCATTTCGAGCACCACTTGACCCGTCATTGACGGCACGCCTTCACGACTTTGGTTTGGCTACGATTTGACACAGTTACCCTGCGCGAGAGAGTGCAAGCAGCCCAGCACACTAAAGCCAAAAATGCCGAAGCCGTTCAATTGGAGATTATGGACAAAGATGGCCGTCGGGTGAGTTTCTGTGTCTCCAGTTCGATCGCTTGCATGACTGACCATCCTTTCGCAGCGGCGGCGTCTGCGTGGTCGGCGGACCAGCTTTCACGATGTGGCTCACGCCCACTGAGGAGGAGCTTTTCAAACGATACAATCCAGATCTGCAGAAACGCAGCTTGGAGAGGAGAGAGCAGACGCAGCAGGAGTTTGATCAGTACGTGGGGAAGCTGAAGGAGCTGTCCAAGTCCAACAAACCACGTAAGTCGACGGAGACCACAGTACCCGACAAGCTTTTCCGGAATCTGATGCCATGTAGTTTGGACGGCATGGGAAGACGAAATCAAAGCGAAGAAGGAGACGGACAGACAAGCGCACCAAACGAAAGCGAACGAGCTTGCGCTGCAACAAGAGGCTATGAGGAGAGAGGCGGGAGTTTCCAAATGAGCAATTCAGGGCTTCAGAAGAAACAAGTGGCGAGTTATGATTTTCTGTACGATGTGTATAACACTATTGGGAACATGCTTCATACCAAGTTCATTCGAGTACGAACCTCTGGGGTGGGATGAATATTGTCGTTAATGGACATATGCGAGACCCTTGTGAGGACCATGACACTGCCGATGCTACTAGTGTCTATATTCGCCATCAAGAGTCATGAACATGAGTCCTGTCGTTGGAGGGACTTTCTATTCCAATCAACCCTTGAATGTGAGTACCTGCGAACCCTCGATGTTGGCAGGCTTAATTACGCGTCGCAGACAAGTGTATTGCTCAACATGATGAGCAATTCAACATTCATGTAGCCTTCTGCACTATAAAATACAAAGAAACCTTCTCGCGAGGACTATTCTAGTAGCAAGGCGGCTGGTCAGTGAATACAAGCCAAGACTCAAGACCACTTTCGGTGTGGGTCCAGAGTCCCGGTGGCCAATGCGGGGTGAATCGGTGAGCTGCCGGAGAGGACGTCGGACATTAGTAATTCCTCAAGCGAAGAATTCTTGGCGGCGCACAAAAACCATCTTCCCCAATAGCCATCATCATCAGGTCAGCCTCGCGACGTAAAACGGATCAGACGAATTGAGGTGAGTGACGCAGGAGGGCCCTTACGCAGCAGTCACGATCTCGTGAAGCCGGAAATGCTTTTTATCCGACTCAAAAATGGCTAATGCGTCCGATGCGTAGCTCATAGCCCTGTACACCGAATTATCCCACCGCAAACCTCCGGTCCCTTTCGATTCAATATGGCCGACATTCAGGAACGCCTCAAGAAGCTCGGCGCTGTTGCGCGGACTGGTACGTCCATTTCTCCATGAAGCTATATTTATTCTAAGAGGGTGCAAACTAACATGTTTCGAACAGGGTACGTCTCTACATAATCTCCGACCGCGCGTTTTCGAGGATCGAGTCGAGCACCGAACGCTAACCGACGTCTTCATACAGTGGCAAGGGCACCCCCCGAAGGACGCAGAAGCGTGTGTTGCCGGCCGCTCCGCCGGTGACGACAAGAAGCTTCAGGCTTCCCTGAAGAAGCTCAACGTCCAGCCCATCCAGGCTATCGAGGAGGTCAACATGTTCAAGTCTGACGGCAACGTCATCCACTTCGCCGCGCCCAAGGGTATGTGCCATTCTTTGGTCGATTGGAAGGATGCAAGGATGGCAATCTAACATGGTGATCACAGTCCACGCCGCCGTCCCCGCCAACACCTTCGCCGTCTACGGCAACGGTGAGGACAAGGAGCTCACCGAGCTTGTCCCTGGCATCCTCAACCAGCTCGGCCCCGACTCCCTCGCCTCCCTCCGCAAGCTCGCCGAGAGCTACCAGAACATGCAGAAGGGCGAGAAGGACGGCGATGAGGACGACATCCCCGACCTCGTCGAGGGAGAGAACTTTGAGAGCAAGGTCGAGTAAGGCCGGCTCTTGTCTGACACCGAGCTTGCGATCGAATTTCTGTTGCGACGGCATGGGGGACTCAATGGGCTTAGGCAATTCAGCTACCACACCGGCGGATGAAGGGAGGGGAAGGTACACCCCTTTTGCAATATGAACCTGGCATTACGACACTGTCGTCGAAGCGAGTCCGAACTACTTGGTCGTGAAATGGCGCTGGATCGGGATGCGCGGCGTATGGCACATCTTGCACCGAGGTTGGCCGGCCCAACTCCTTAGCTGATGTACGAAATTGGGATACCACGTCTTGTAACTAAAGTTGTCTTTGTTATTATGGTTGAATGCTGAGGGACGCAAATGT